TATTCTGCAATAATTTAAAAAACTTCTACTATAACTTTATGTTATCATCTGTCCCAAAGCCAAAAGTACCTGTGATGAAGGAAGTCTTATGGCTTTTACCGAATTTAAAATAAAGTTAAAATTTGGAAATCAATGACAGAAAGAATGATTGTTCCAGCTCTTGAAAGGTAATTGGATTAGAATAATGAGCACATATTTCTGATTGGTAATTACTGTACTTCCCTGAAAAAACTATTGTGCAAAGGTAATTGTACTGGAGATTTTCAGAGACATGCTTTTATTTCCATAGCCTCCGTGCTTTACACAGTGCAGTTCTGATAATATCAATTAAGTTTTTTACAAGGACATAAAGGTAGATTTTATAGAATATTTTATGTATTCCAACATCTGATCTATGAAGTGATACTCTTGATATCTTTCAGTGGAAATGCTGAAAGAATGCATAAAATGTTCATTGGGACTATACTGTGTGGGTGCCACTTGTCCAAATAAGCCATGGGTTTTGACTTGGGGACCCTACTGAGCCTTGGTTATGAGTCTGGTGTATAAGCAGCAGCAGCCTCAGGTTGACTCGATCTTCTCGAGTGTGGCCCGGCTAGCTCAGTGATGAGGTTTCTCTTCATTCGAGTTTCGAGCCAGCATATGTTTGTGAGATTCACTGATTTTCTTCAAGAATTCAAGTCTATAGAGCGAGTAAAGAAATCAGGGGGGGACTCTCTCTCTGGTTTGTATTCCACAGTTTATTTCTGTGAAGGGGAATCCAAAGGATGAGAGACAAAGGATTTGGGGTCTGGGGGGTCTCTTTTAACAGGGTTTCTCGGAGGGAGGGAACATCAGAGAAAGAACCAATTATTTTTCTCAGTTAGTACATCTTACAAACTTTCTACAAATCAAGGTTACACACACCAAGATAAGAAATAACAGACACCAACTTCTTCAAATGCCCACAAAGGTGTAGGACTATTCTCCACAGAGGGGCAGAGGGGGAGAGAGGGCGGGCTTGGTTTCCTGGCAACCCAGGGGGGAAAGAAAGGGAAGGTAAGCATACCCTCTCAACTTCCATAGCTCAGAGGCATTCTGGGACAGGAAAAACAGAGTTACAAACTTCCGTGTTGGAAAGAAGGGTTCTCTTCTCCCAACCCTGTGCTTTCCTGGGCTGAAGAAACTTCAAGCAGCTGGAAATGCCAGCGGGGTCCTCTCTTTACTCTATCCGGCCTCTCGCTGTGGGGCTGAGGAGAGAAACTTCAGTAACCAAGGTAACCTGACGCCAGGTAAACAATTAGGAGAAAGAGAAGCTGGGGGGGGAATCACAACTAAAAACAGGAGAAAAGATATATTTCAAGCTATCAACTGCAACATCAGGTGACTGAGTGCCTGTAGGTCCTGGATTTCCAGCCTCCAGAGTTACAATCTCACAGGCTTGACCAAGCTATAGAAGTTTCCCTTCTACTGTCTTCCATTGTAACATCAAACAAATAATGAAGATGTAAGTCAACCTATTCAACTGAGGCTTTGAAAACCTATCTGGAAAAATCCTCACTCTAAGCTTAGGATGCTCGATTTTTGACTTGTGAGTGAAACGGACCATAAGCCACACTTATGATAAGGCTCAGGCAAAGGTGCAGGGTATGTGTATACTTATACATTAGAGTTCTGAATTCCCAGGTCTGGATGTTAGCCTGAGCTGTTCCCAGTGCTCTGATGGCTTGAAAACCCTACAGAACCCCACTTACCACATACAACCCTTCACTGGCCTGAGAACCTCAAGTTCTAGTTTTCACAGGACATGAAAAAGTGAGTGGAGAAATGGGAGCTATGGCAATATCTACACAGGTGCATAATGTGGAGCCTAAGTAACCCATTGCCTTGCATCCCAATGCACTGCAGTTACTGGGTTCAGATTAGCAGTAGTGTCCTTGCATGGTAGACAACTCTGCTGATTAAACCCAACTGAGGCTACAAGCAAGCTGTCATTTGTAAAACATCCATTGGTCTCTTTGCTGTTACCCAAAACTAACAACTTAGAAGCCCTAGGAGCAAAGAGCATTTAAGTGTTGCTGACATTAGCCTTTGGATATTCTCCTTGGTTGTGTCAAATTCAGATTGCCTCCCTCTGCATGTACAAATTCAGGAATTGTATTTTCTCTGTGATATAGTGAGGAGAATATTTGAACTACAGTAAAAAGAGAAGATGCTGTTCTCCTAGGAATAGCTTCTGTCCTTGTTCTGACTTGTTCCCTGTTAGATAAGGTTGTTTTTTCAGTTGATGCTGGATGTAAACGTAGATAAACAGAAAAAAAAAATTAAGAAGACTGGTTTTGGACTTTGCATTAATCAGCTACTGATGTCACAGTTATTTAAGAGTTTCAAAGTTTATATCAAAGTCAACAAGCATATCTTGTACTATCAAAAAGTTGTTTCGGAATAGGAAGAAAAAAGTGTAAAATTATTTTTGCTTTTTCTCTCAATGCACACTACCCCTTGCTTAAGTACGTGGTTAACAGTACTTTTTAAACATCTTTGCAAATTCCAGTAATCTTGCAAATTTTAACCCATTAGTTTCCAAAGAATATTTTTTATTTGAAATAATTTTTACTATTTATCTTCTTTTTTTTTCAATGTGAGTGTACACTTCATCCCCTCAATGAATTTCAAGTGACCAGTTATATAACATGGATAGTATATTGTAGTTACAGTTAATAATCCAGAGAAATATAGGTTTCTTGACTGAACAGTGTTATGACAAATTAATAGTTTTTTCATAAATATGATGACCTGGATTTTCATTAAGCATGCTGCAGTTTAGGTATCTATACTTATTTCCTTTTATAGTTGATGAGAGAGAAACAGTCATTTAGCATACAGTACAACAGACCTGGTTTAGACATCTAACTCAGAGAGCTCTTTGAACTTCTCCTTAGAAGCACTTACTTCTACTGGATGATTCACTGTATATTGCACATTTCTGCATGTAATCAGTTGAATTTCACTGCCAGGTATTTCTCAGGCAGAGTCTCCAAAGCAAAGCAACCATTAACTGTAAGGCAGACATTCCCAGAGTAGTTATCCTCTTTCCAAGTAGTACAGTAACATGCAATTTGCCCATAATTTTCTCAGCATCAGGCTAATGTTTAGGTGAAATGGATAAGACAAGTCTAAGAGTATTTTGTTCACTATGAATTTTAGAAATTTGTAATAACTTGGTTTCAGTTTTGGCCACCCCAAATGTAGTCTCTCTATACAGATTTACATGGCACAGCTGGTAAACATTTTAACCTGCCAGACAAGAACCCAGCAGGCTGGGATTTTCCCTCATGCATTTCTATTTCTGCCTCTATACATCTTGAAACCTGTTCAATATGACAGGAAGGTGATCTTGTTACATTAACTGTATATAAAAGTCTTTAGGGAATAAAGAGAGATGTGAGTCTGTCTCCTTCCATCTCAAAAAAACCCTCTTTGTACCAAGAGAATTGCCTATTTATAAATGTCTGTCAGACAATCCCACCAAATGAGGCAACTGTATCGCCTTTTGCATTGCTACTAGGGAGAATCTTGTTCCATTCTTTGAAGAGGAGCTGTAAGTAAGCAACTTACCTTCTAGGCAGGGTACAGTGTCAGGGATCATAAGTGGCTGGAGGCATCTTCCAATGAAGACTGAATTCAGAGATGCTCAAGCTGTTAGAGATACACCTGTCATCACTGATTCCTGTACTTATATCAAGGTAGCTCCTCAGGCAGCCCAGAGGTTTCCTGGATTCAGCGCTGAGTTGCTCAGCTCACTCTAGATTCTGTGAGGGAAGAATACGTAGATCCAACTCTAAACTCTGAATCCCACTTTGTCCCAAGAAAGACAAGTAGAAATTTATCAAATCCTTATTGCTGATCTAACTCATACTTTTTTTTTCTTTCTATGGCTCAATACACTGTAAATTATTCCCTCCAACAGCCTCAACAGAAGATAATCATTGGCAACAGTGGGTGAGCCATGTAAACACTTAGTTTCATCATGTGAGACTATCTGGCTGATTTGGAAACCCAGGTAGAATTACCAGGTAGAAAGAATGCCTCTATTCCTGTTTGGTCAGGTCTTCTTAAAATTGGATTACACAGTGAATATCCATTGAAGACTTTGTAAGGAGGGAGATGGAGTATGGGTTTTTAGAATTGCCAAATTATAGTTAACAACTATTTTTAGTGCACCAACAAAAGTCAGATAGCTGGGCCAAAAGACAGCAGTCAGAAGTAGATGAGGAGGATAGATATTTTCTTTAGATATTTGGTAAAAGATGTGAAAGGCTGCAGAAGTAAATAAATGATGAAACTGAATAGTACAGATAAAATGCAGAAATTACTACTCTTAAGGAAACTGCTACAGATAGCAGAAAAGGTATTCCAGAGAGAAGTGTATTTGCATTAACTGAATAAAACTGTCTTTTTACCTCAAAAGAAGCTCTGGAAATAAAAGGGTAGCCATTTGAGTTGAGGTAACAATGTGATTGGGTATTTAGCAAGTACTTCTGGTGATCTCAGAAACTCAAGATCAGGAGCTATATCCTGAGTTCTAGAAGGATGTTCAAAAGAGTATCACAGATATATCCGTACTGTATAGGGAGTAAAAATAATAGTAGCAATAATTTTCATTAAATTTCTCTTATATCAACCTGACCTTAAACACTTCCATGGATTTGACATCTACAACTTCTCTGAGAGACCTGTTCCAGTATCTCACCACCTTTGTCATAAAATATTTCTTTCTTGCATCTACTCTGAATCTGCCTTCTTTCAATTGAAACCATTGACCACTATCCTGTCACTACGGGTCCTGGTAAAAAGGTCTCCTTCAAGCTTTACTGTAAAGCCCTTTATGTACTGGGAGGTCTCCCTGGAACCTGCTCTTCTCCAGACTAACAACCCCAACTCTCGCAGCATGTCTTCACAGAAGAAGTGCTCAAGCCCACTATCATTTTCATGCTCCCTCTCTCAGCAGGTTGCAACAGATCCATATCTTTCCTGTGCTGAGGACACCTGAGCTGGAAGCAGTGGAGGGTCTCTTGAACATGGAGTTAAAGCAGCAGAATCACCTACTGGTCACTCTTGTGATGCAGGCTGAGGTATGTTCTGCTTTCTGGGCTGCAAGAACACATGGATGGCTTTTCATCCACCAGTATCCCCATGTCCATTTTTTCAGGGCTGCTTTCCATACACTCATCCCCCACTCTTTACAGGTACTGGGGATTGCCCCAGACCTGGTGTGGGACCTTGGCCTTGTTGACTTTCATGAGCTTCTCTTGGGCCCACTTCTCAACCTGGAAAAGTCTCTCTGGATGCCATCCTCATACCTACAGAATTCACATTTAGACCTAACCTTTCTTATAGGTATTAAAAAAAAAAAAATGTTCACTATTAAAACATTTAATGTGATTACAGAAATAGAAAGAAACCTACCTAGATGTTTTTCATTGTTAAATCTGTGTCCTCACTTGAACTTAAAAAAAGAACTTATGTTTTACCAGTAACAGTTGCTATGCCTCCCCTGAACATGAGATTTAGGACTTAAAGACAGGGAAGTGAAACACAGAGCACCTTGTTCTTTGTACATTTCAAATAGATAACTTTCATTGACAACTCAACCCAGAAGTAAGCTTCATCTACTTAAAACACATTCATGTCCCTATGACCTTAGACACAAACAAAATAGTGTGAGTACAACAGGAAATTAAATGTTTAATTTTGATTTTTCAAAGAAAAAAAATTAAAACTAGAAAATCAAAATATTTTCAGCAATTTATTATTTTATTTCAGCAGAAGTTCTTGAGCTACATATGATTTGTATGTGACATGATATTTATGACATTTTGGAGAAAATTTTTTTGTTAATAAAACAGTGATGGATCATCACAGTAGGAATAAAAACATAATAGATCAACTAAGGGAAGAAAGCTTTTATACTCCACCTAGACAATGTTCTTGACCAAAACATAGAATTATCTTCTAACTTTAAAATTTATCTGCGATTTTAAGTTGATGTATTTAAGTTACTTTGATTTTCATAAAAATAAGGAAATTACGAGCATTAGTAACTCTAATGTTTTTCAAATGTGCTAAAGGGCACAAAATGGCACAATAAATGCTGCTTTCAGTATTTCCTACCCATACAAATTGGCCATGTGGTATGTTGACCTATCCAGATGCTCCCCAATCCTGAAATAATTCTAAGCAGACCTGCATAAGAATGGAAAAGAGAAAATGTAAATCTTTTTTATTCCCAGTCTCACCATTTTTCTTTTTTATAATGTCCCATCCAGACTGAGGTCACACATCCTAGGAAATTACTGCAGCATGATAGCAGGTTATATTAGCTAATTTCTATCTTAATTCATAAGTCATCATGTTGTGGGTTTTATTAGGGTAACCCTATAGAATTCTGATTAAAGAGAAGCTGGTGAAATCATAGAATCCTTATCTTTATTCTGCCTTACAATAGAGTCCAGAAGTAACCAGTGGTATTTATTCACATGGTGTGCAAAGCAATCTGGAGAGACAGAGTCCTCTGTCATCTTTGATAGGTTATGTGCTCCAAACTGAATATCAAACAGCCTGTTGGCATCATCAGTCATGAAAAAGGGATGTTTTCTCCTCTATTTGGAGCCTTAATTTTTTGGAATAAGCAAAAAGAAGTCCTCTCAGTATCCTTCCCTACAAATTCTGTCTTTAAGTTCTTAAGTCTATATAGACTAAGCAGAGGGGATTTTGCTACTTTGGGAAAAAAGTGAATTCTTTGACCTTGAAACATTACTTGGATTTTTTCTTTTTTTCTTGTTTGTCTGCAGTGAGAATAGTATCACTTTGTGAAGACACTACAAAAAAAATAATTTCAGGAGTCCTCTTGTCATCTACAAGAAGAAGGATTCACAGATGTTTTAGCTGCAGGTCAGAGTGTCTTTTTTGAAACCACTAATCTACTAAACACAAAAGTGCTTCCCTCTATATTCATCTCTTCAATAACAGCAGCAGTTAATCTGAAAACTTTTCTGCTTTTAAAATAATTTTACAGATACTCAGTTTTAAAGGAAAGTGACATACATGGTAACAATTACTTTTACATTAGTGCAATTTTCCTTGAAGGCACCAGACATTGAAAGTGACCCATAGTATTCTGTACTATTGTTTGTTAAAATATTCCCATCAGCAACTGGAGATCCTCAAATCATGACTCATATTTCTTTATTGGGTTTTCTTAAAGGAACAGATGAAGCATTATTTAAATTTTTTGGTTTAAGGAAACTGTCTTATATTTTATGTTTTTCAATATGACCATTGATATGTGCTTTTAGCAAAAATTTGTCAAAATTAAGCCTCTTTTTCAGGAGAGGCCTTAAATTGGGCATAATGGGGAATACTTTGTTTAATAATGAAGTAATCTCCTGTCACTTCTAATTAACCCAGGTCTATAGGAAAGGTTTGTACAGTGCTGTTGTGAAATCAAGGATTTCCTGGACAAGGCAGTCTTTCTATGAGGTAAGAACTGATACATGTGTCCCAAATATGGATAACCACTCTCTCTGCTTTGACAAGGGTGGGCTTTTTTTTTTATAAATCTCTTCCTCTTTCCCTTCATGTGAAGCTTCTGGTACAAATCCAGAAGTTTTACTAGTTTTTGCTTTCTGATGCTGCATGCAATGGGTACTGCAGTTTCACCACAGCTTTAAAAGAGAAAGCATAAATACTTGCTTTGTAGACTTGTATCCATCTCCAAATTTGAAAAGTGGGAAAGACAGCAATCCCTAGCTTTCCCTTAGGGAACAAGCCCCCTGCTTCAGCAATTCTAATCATGACAGAGAAGCTCACAGTGTCATCCTCGTTTATATTAAGCCCCAGCTTTACTGTTTTAATTCCTCCTCGTGCAAGTAGCCAGAAAAGGATTATTGACACTGATACACTTCGCAAAACAGCAGGTTTGTTCACTGGGGTAAGAATCCACAAATGTATTTCAGGTGCCTTGTACTCTTTGCAGTACGCATCACTGTCATTAGATCAAATAGAAACAAGGACAACTTATAAAAACAAGATGAAGATTTATGATATATGGATAAAAAACCAGATTTTTTCATTTTTACCATGGTATCAGATTGCACTTTTTTCAGTTCTCAGAATGTTTACTTCACAAGAAAAAGAAAAGTAAGTCTGTCTGGATCTCCCCCAGATTTTTGTGTTAGAGCAGGGGAGGACTTATATAATCTCCTCATAAGGGAGTTTACAGAGTCCTTTGCTTGTTCCATATGCTGTAAAACACCTTTCTTCTCAGTCAATCTAGGACTCGGGCCAGGTGATAGAAATTACCTGCATAGAAAAATAACCTTACAAAAATATCAAGCTGGGAAAGACTGAAGCAGTGGATGGGAAAAATTTCCACTTCCACTACTGAAGAACATGAAGTTGCAACTAAAAAAACCCCAAAACTTCTTCCAATCAAGTCCAAAAAGTAAAAAAAACAAACAAGTGCATAATTGTATATTTGCAAGACCAACTTGAAAAACACTAGACTGAAGCATTTCTATTGTTGTCTACTGTCGTTGGGAATATGGTCAGATAGAGAACTCATATTAATATCAAAACAAATTCCAGTTTTTCATGTGAGATGAAAAAAATCCTTCCTTAGAAAATACAGATGTGATATGAAAATATAAAAAGTACTGATGCAATTTCAAGTTTTCCTAAGGGTTCCTATGATATAGGCTCTATCTATCATGTATATCTCTTAGCTACAGCTGGCAGCATTTGGTCATTTTACTTGTCAGACTTTTGCCTCACTGTTAAAATAGAAAATCAAATTAAGAGACCTCCTTTCATCAACTTTGACTCCTTTATTATACAGGCCCATATCCACTGATTTGAGGATTTTGTTTTACACAGAGAATAAAAGTAAAACTTCAATATCTTAGTATAAGACTAAGTAAATGTGCTCTTTTATTCTAATTCCCTTAAGGCTATTTTATCTAATTTTTCCCTCCCTTCCCTTAGAACTGATACTTCCATGTGATTCTTGAAGGACTCCTACAACTCTTAGCCAGATAATATAAAAATGCAATAGATTTTTTCCAAAACTCTTACTATTTTTCCATGTTACGTATTTCACAGGCATCTTACTAGGGTCAACCTCTTTCTGCTTTGGTACACAAATAATTGCATTATCACTTTGTTATCAGGCAAAGGAGCAGCTAACAGTTTAAAGTTTAGGGTCAAGTGAAATCTATGTGTGGCTTTATGGGTAATTAGGTTAGGTTACAAGAGTCAAGTGAATATTCATTAGTTACAGGATGAATACTCAGCATGTAGTAGTAATTTGCATTTCCCCATGCTTCCAAAACTAATTCATGACTAGTATTGACACAGCAATCACATTACAGGCATTATTTCCTTCCAGACAAAGAATAATTGATCTGTAATAATCCTTGAAGTAAACCATCAAAACTTTCTTATTTTCCTTTTGAAATCTGATAAAATTAATGCTACTTTCTGCCTCTGTTATTGCTAACCTTTCTCTACAATTTTTTAAGTGGACTTACATGAAATAGTGGAAGTTATAATAATTGACATAATTTTATTAAGTAACATCATTCCATTTTGTACAGAGCCTGATTGACGTATTAATGTCAGCAACATTTATATCTCAGCAGTGAGTTATAAGAATTTTAAAAGCCTGAAAAGGATTGCCCAGAACATTACCTAATATATAATTGGAGCTTAGATACATATGTTCTATCAAAAAATTCATTACATTTACTTAGCATCACCCATTCCTCATCACTTTCAGCCATTATAGTTTTTACCAAATGCTTATCCAGATTTCATTAGCACAGCACCTGTTATATAGCAAAGTTTAACTCCTATACATATTTTTTTTTATTGAAGGAATTTGACAAGGAACAACCAAACAGTATAGGGATGTCTACATAAAACTAATTTCTGATGATTGTGTATATGAAAGAATCTTGCCTTCTTAGGAGCTAAAAGTAGATTCATCAGCATCTGTAGTAGTTGCTGAGTTTTGCAGTCTTTCGTCTTTGAGTTCCAGTCATTTCTATGGGCTCTCTAACTCTTCACGTGTCCCAAGCCAAGGCAGTTAGTGAAGCATTTTTAATGCTGAATAGACAGGTAGAGGCACTTTCTGTTCTTCTTAAAAATCCATAAAAGAGAATCAAAAAGTCAATAAAGTCAGATGTCTCGCCATTGCTTTGGAGAAGAACAAAATGCAGCAGATGCTTTTGCTTCTTATTTTTAATAATGGAATTTTCCAATTTAAATATTATAACACTAAGTAGGTAGCTCACTATTTCTAAATTCAAATGAACAGAGTCACTATACACATGCAGCTTGAAAATTTTAACTCACTGAAATCAATGATGGGCCAGTCATTAAATTTCACGAGATCAGAATTTTGTCAATTATATTTTGCAATCAGTTTAACAGCAAAGGATTCATGAAAATCCATTAAATACACAGGACAAATTTATTCAGAGATTTGATTATTATCTATTTTTTTTTTTGAGTTATCACATCTCACGTTAAGACACAGGTGTATAGCTGCATATATTTTATTCCAGAGTCCTTATATTTATCTTTTCAGAATTATTCTGTTGTGAGAATTAATTTCAGCACAAATAGCTTTGAGAAAAGCTATTGGTGTTTTTTACAATCTGTATTAAGATAATGGCCAGAAGCGTTCACTCAGCCACTTTGTTTGCATCTCCAAAAAGATCCATATGTCAGAAGTTATTTGACATGGAAAGACAAAAGAGGATTGAGAAAGAAAGTTATTTTGTTTTTAATTTTGCCTATAAATTCCATTAACTGAGCACCTTGCATGAGCAATAGTAAGTGAAGGAGAGGGAAGGGCATCTTGGAATAAAAAAAAAGGAAGTTCTTTCACTAAGGAAAATAGGTATTTGCAAAATACATGGTTCACACACTCTGGAGGAAGATATTAACTATATATCCCACTGGAATGTGGAATATAATTCATGTTGGAAAATACCAATAGTTTTGGCAACATACCTGCTTATGGACTGACTGTGTGCCCATTTGGCCTGTATCTTGACTAAAAAGTTAAAAATAAAGCACCTTGGCAATAGACATAACAAATTTTAGCAATTTGGCATCCACCAGCTGCTTGCAAAATACTCAAGGAAGCCATAATATCTATTGTATTTTTTTTTTCCATCAATTGGAAAGAACTAGATCCTTTGCAAAACTGACTGAATGTAAATTTTCTCATGTAGAGGTAGTGAGGAAATTAAGCTACATTATAGGTTACTTCATTGGCTTCTTTATCAATTTAAGGATTTTTCATTGTCTCATAAGACAATTTATCACTCCAATGTTTTCATTGTACTCTGCTTCAAGCTACTGAAAAACAGTTAATACACTGCACAACTTGCTGACCAGATGTACAGCTCAATTAGCAAATTTTGCATACTGAACATGCATATCAGTTCATGTAAACACCCATCACTATAGGATCTAAATACCCCCAAAGTAATTATTTATTCTCTGAAGTTATCGACCCAATCTATAGAAGTAATACTGCCACTGTTTTCTTGACATTCAGTACACAGGGAGAAATTTCACAGAAAACCCACTCTATGCTGGAGTGGCCAAAATAGAAGACATTTTGATGATTTTTTTTTTTTTTGCCCTCAACTTAATTTGCTTTCTGTTCCCCAAACACAACCTGGAACAGTAGCGTAGACATGTGTTGGTACCTGAACCAAGCTTCTCTAGAGTCCTTAATAAGAGGATGGTTTCTTCTAAACCATGCACTTTCCATGCAGGAGCCCCACAAACCAGCATAGAAGCTCTGTAGGAGAAGAAGCTACTCAGCAGCTCCTCAGGCTTCCAACTGGGGTTAATAACTCGAGACAACATGTGCAGCTGTTGTGAGAAAACTACACAGCTTGGATAGATAGCGAGGCATGGGAAATCTGGTATTGCCAAAGAATGGGAAAGGCCTAGAGTGTGTTATTCCCCCTATGGCTAACTAGAATGTTTTAAGGGGGGAAAATAGATATTTAGAACTAATTTAAAATTATTTATTAAAAGCAAAGTTTGACCTTTCCTTTATGACAAATTTTCCTTTTATATTTTATCTGATTTTGAAAACTGTTTTCCTCAAATTTTATTTTAATTGTACACTGGTGAAATACAGAGGAACTTCTTTTGGTTTACATCAGTGTAACTGATATCAGCATCAGACCCACTGTCTCCATTGTAAGCAAGTCATGAATGACCATTCTTCATGGTCATATAAAATGATACAGAGGTCTCTTGGCACAATCATTACTTTTTCCATTTTCTGTAGACAAACAAACCCATAAAACAGAGCTGACAGATGTTATAACCCAAGAAAATGAAAGAGAAAAACCCACAATACAGAAGAACTAAAGAAATTCTAAATAAAGTAAGACTGTGACAACCTTCTGGAATACACCTACTTGTATTTCAGGATTTGGAAAGCATAAAAGGTACATAAAAAAAAAAAAAAAATACTGCAATTGCTGTCCTTTCTAGATCAGGGTACTGCAAGGTGCAGCAGAAAGATCCCAAAACATGTTTGGGATGTGCAATACAAGTTTCTTTCTATTTGAAATGCAACAGGGCTGTATAAATCTGTTCAATTTAATGTGGCTTTCATTTTGGTTTTTTAAAGAAAAAAAAATGTGATTTTAATTTTTGAAATAGCTTAGTATGTGTTTCAGTTGCACTCAACATACAAAATAAAAATGTATACTATTCCATAAATTGTATTGAGAATATTGCAATATAATTTAATAATTAATAGTCAATTAAATTTAATATTTTCAAATAACTAAAATGCTCAGACACTGAAAGCTTTGTTCCTCATTGAAACTATGATCTGAAATTCAGCTCCAGTCACATCAGACTGTGGTTGGAAACTTCTGATGTATCAGCTCTCAGGCTGAAGACACCCTCCACCTAGTGGAAAAAAAAAAGCATTTCTTTGATAATATTCCTTTTCACATATGTTCACAAAGGTGGAGATTTACCAGATTTCTGATTTGAGAGTGGTTTCAAAGATCTCACTTGATAACACAGCTCAGGCTGCAGTTGAAAGTGTTGGTATCAACATTGCTGGAGGTTTTAGGAATATAGAAATAAATAATGGATTGCACTGAATAAAACACAAACAGCACATAAAAATCCTCACACTGACAAAGAGTTTTTTCCTACTTTTTCCCTATCCTGGGGCACACAGAGCTAAGGAAGACAAATGTAATGCATATTTCCACCAATGAATTACTGTTTCATAACAGCATAAGACCTCGTCAGTAAAGCTGAAAGCTGGCTTTCAGTAGTTTAAACTGGATTTTTCTCCAAGCTGTGCAGTTCTATAATCTTCTGACTTTGGACTTCCTTGGATTCCAACACTGAATCTGATATTTTTAAAGGGAAACGTGCACATACATAAACACATCCATTTCTATTTGCCTGTGTTTGTGGACATCTGTCTTTGGCACTCATTCTGTCTACTTAGCTGTTTATTTGAGTAGTGGCAGTAATTGGAAACCAATGTCATAGAACTGTAACTGCAAATGCAGATTTAACCAAGCAACCTATCTTGGTCCTTGTACCACTGCTCATTGAAGCATAAAGCAGACATAAAGCCCTTCCAAGTAAAATGCATGCAGAGCCACTATGAGGTTCAATTAATGGTTTTTAAGTGGCTTAGGACACTGAATAAAATGAAGATAAGCACAGGAGAAATGGTGCATACGTGTTTATATGTGTTTAAAATCGGTCTCTACGGCTTTTAGACTTCATATGTTCTGGATGCCTTGCACTAGTTGAGTAACACAAAGGAGCCATAAAACTGACTTAACCAGCCAGTTAAGCTACATTAAGGGGTGCTTTGTATCCTTATAGTGGATGCCTTGGGTCATCAGATTAATTCAAAGCAGTTGGAGTAAAGGACGGAAGGCAACCTTTGAAGTAGGTGAGATCTCTTAGAGCTTCATCCCCAGCCAATTGACATCAGTAGTAAGATTCCCATTTGTCTTAAACTACTGATCATAATTAGTCTAACTTAATTGATTTCATTGGCCATTTCCCCCGCACTCTGGTGTTGACCTAAAAAACTGTTTGTTAGGCCCTTTTTTCTAAATAAAAGCCAGGGACTTCACTGTGGCTTAAAAGACACAGCATTTGCTACAGTGATTTTTTCAAGGTGAATACAAAACTATGGTTGTGTTGTATATAGCATTTCTGCAATAAAATTCTGAGCCATATTTTTGCTTGCTTTCAATGCCTGAATAATTCTCTATTACTGATGATACACCTTGAATGATTTGGGTGTTGTGGTAGTTTCAATGATGAATGCCTAATCTCTTCACTGTAGTTTATGTTCTTTCTTATTCCCTCTGTCTCAGGGCTGCAACAACGTCCTTTGAACAGGCTTGCCAAAAGCTTAGTGAAGCTGACACTGCTCTTCTTTTCCTCTCACCAATGGCTAGAATCCAGAAAGTTTCTTCAGAATAGAATAAATATTGTCAGAGATAAGCAAGAAGAGATTATGAGACACTTATTCTGGTCAAGTTTCCATAAACTTCAAAAATCCGAATGGTGGTTTCTGTTGGGGATTTTTATTAATAATACCCAGGCTCTAAAACCTCATGTCTAACATGTTTCTTCCACACACATCACCTTAATTCCCCTCAGCCTTTTCACTTTCTCCCTGCTGTTTCGATATTGCATTTGTCTGCACTGAAATTGAAGCTGCCAAGGATGGTTTTCTATAGCATTAGTTAACATGGTTATGCCAGTTCTTATCTTTAAAATTTCATTAAAAAGCTAAATAAAATCTTTGTAATATTACAAATTTGAAGGGAGATTTATATATAAAATTAAAGATACAGGACACTGTAGATGTAAGCAAATACTACAGAAAAGCCAGATTACTGATTGGCAGTGTTAGCTTTTAAAAACAGTGGGGTTTTGGTTTCTTTCAGGACATTTGCTCATCTGTCAATCAAAAATCTTGTTATACATGAATCTGATGTCAGATCAATATCTGACAAGACTTTTGACTGTCAGGACAAATTGTTAGACACGGATGTAATGCCACATCCATGTATAACAAGGCCCATGTAGAACAGCTGCCAGTGATAGAATCCTATCATTCATACATTATCAAAACAGATAGAGTGGCTCCCTGAGATCTCACGTGTTAAGTAATTACATCAGAACCTGCATTTCATCTGTAAATCATGAGAAAAACTCAATAAAATTACAGGTTCAATTAAAGAAGACAGGAATCCATAACTGTTCGTGCTTTTTGATTCACAATTATAAAAATATAGTAGGGGTTTCTTCTCCCCTATGGTCTCTTCAGTATAGGAATGCTTGTGTTTTGCTTTCCTTTTATCAAAGAAATGAAAATGTGTGGGATTCATGTTAGTGCGCTTAACCAATGAAACATTCTACAAATGACACTGACAGCTGATAGAATAGGAGGGGTGGTAGCAAGAATTGAAAACAGAAAAGGAATGCATGTACATTACACCTAAATCCAAAGTAAGATCACCAAGAAGAGTATATGAAACATGTTTAAAGTCCATCAGCTGTACAAAAGCATTGTTATGCTATATTTAGTTGGAATAGTAGTTTATTTTCTAGATTTGACCTAATGACACCGAAATGGTGGACTGATTTTTACAAAGATAGCAGAATTCTGAGACCTGCCTTGTCTGATGTCTACAGCATATTGGGGTGGGTGCAAAAGAGTTCAGAATCTTCACAATCTGCACAGAAATGCAAGTGTTTCATTAAAAAGCCATGGGAAATGCTGGAGGAGATACAACATTTTATAAAGGCGTTCACGGTGAAAATAGAAGCTGAGCTCTACAGAAACAGGCACACCTAAATCTGTAGGACAAAAGTAGTGAAGGAGTCTGATAGAACAATTAATTTGCTTAAACATAAGTAATTTATTATTTTCTGAGTTAGTCTAATGTACCTGAGGTCTAAATGTGGAGCTGAGAGCCAGAACACATGAGAATCCCAAACCTTTCTGATGTAATATCTGGAGATTAGGAGAAGTACCCTATATATCTAGGATGGCTCTAGATTATTCTAGCAAGTCAGGTGAATTGCAACCTGGGTCCACTTTCATTTCTCTGTCTGAGATATATCTAGTCTACCTGTTATCATGACAGTTTACCAAGGACTATCCCTTTCTCTCAACACATACCATAAAGGGCAAATACACAGATTAAGTCTAAACTGCTGACATCTACATTATGCTGTTAATATTCAAAACCTACAGTGGCACTGTGTTCAAGGTAGATGCCTTCCAAGTATGCATGCATCCCATATATACACAACCCTTTGATGTCCTTAGGTATTGTAGCTGTAAATCTGTTAATCTTAAATTAGGTATCCTTAAGTCTATCACCAAGGCAGAGGTAGCTGTTTCATGTTACAGGTACTTTGAAAAACCTATACCACAGAACTAATGTCTTGGGCTGGTGAGTGACTTTTTGGACTGAAAAGAAAAAAAAAAGAAAAAAAGGGAGGAAATCTTTCCAACCTCACAGCAATGCTGCAAACTGAGATTTGGAAGGGAGATGAAGTACTCTTTAGCCCAAGCAATATTGTGAAGCAACTTAAAGTGGATAAATATTACTTTTAGTGTTAAAAATAAAGCAATTCTTTAAATGTGATCCCTCTTCTCTTATAAAGGGAATTGCATCTCCCCATATTTTATGTCTTTGTTCAACACAAAGTTGTTTTTATATACTTGGTTCAACACTGGATCTCATTTGTACTTCATCGCATTTAGAAGACAAGTGACTACACAACATTTCCTGGCACCACGAGTTTTAATCAAAACTGAATTGAAATACATTCTCTTTTTGGTAAACAGGTTCAGTTTGTTTTCTGGACTACCTTTGAAAAACCACTGATACAACCTTATGAAGTCCCTCACTGCACAAACAAAAATATCTGTGGAAGACCACCAAAACCAACTGATTGAGAAGTGATGACTTGATCCATGGACATTTGATGATTTAACATTATGACTGGAGGAACAATAGGCAATGAAAATGCTGTAATTCCATAAAGATGAAACACCAAGACATGTCAGGCCCTTCCTTTGTGGCATTCAGTGTCAAGCCCAGATGCATTTGTTCTCAGATCTCCTTCTTTAAAAAACAATAGGGCAGGGAGTTAACCTGGTAAACACAGCTTCACTTGAGAGACTTGAATTTCTTAGCAGGATTTCTTTATAGTAGTAGCATGCTCTCACCTTTGCTTTACCCATATTTCTGAATACTATAGAGTTTAACATATTCATTTTATTATTCTACTAAATTGTGGATGATACACTGGCAAACCTGTTTTCAGTTCCATACTTTGTATTTTGTCTGTTTGCTGACAGTATATTCTATTTTAGTAGCTGGTTATGAATTGCCTTAAGTCATGTGAACTGCATGATCCAAAGGTGTTCATATTTCTTCCCTTCCCTGATGGCAAAGAACTACTTTCCTTTCACTGTCTTTTTTAAAAAATTATAATTAGTCTAGAGTCTTGCCTCTACACTCATTCATCATTCTCTCCTATTAGTCTTATCACTGTGAAAGGCTTGAGAGAATTGGCTTGTAAAATCACCAGTAACTCAAGTTTGAAATAAGGCTATCAAAACAGATAGGCTTACATGCCAACTCCTTGGACAAAGTGTAATTGTAAAGAATGGGGCAAAGTGGTAATGAGAGGAAAAGCTTCCACCTTTGGGACTATGCTTCTGTCACTTTTCCATACTTCTACAGGCAATTTTCTGTAGCTCAACAGGTAGAAGGCAAAACCAATGATAAGAAATTTCAGTTAATCATTTAATTTATGCTATTTCACTCCTCTGGATTATTACACTAAATATTCATATTACAATATTTTGAAGTAAGAATTGTTGTCCAGCTTTAAGAATGGTATTCTCCAGTTTAGTGCTCCTGCTAAAACCACATTTCCATTCCCCAGGAGAATTGGAGACACAAAAGACAGAGATCACAGGTGGAAATAAGCAGAGTTTACTGGAGAGAGAAAATAAACAGTACAGCAATGATATTAAAAACAGAATTGTACAAAAAAGAAAGTGATTTACATGCAAAAAATCTTACTGAGGAGCCCATGACCTGATTGTGACCGTCCCATGCCCAGCAACTTCTGGCTTGGGACCGGTGCCATGGTTACTCAAACAGAAGGAACCCCTTTTCCCTGGAAGAGAGTTCCTTTTCCCCCTCCCCAGATATGAAATGTGATGGTATAGAATAACTTCCGGGCTGCAGCCTTGCCCCATTCCAACCACTGCAAAAATCAACCCTTTCCAGAACCAGGACATTTCTGTTTATAGTCCTAAGCTGTGATAGATGCAACTGATGTCTTTTAAGAGCCTCCTCTGGAAATAAATAGTTAATGTCTTTTTTTTTTTTGTCTTTTTTTTTTTCCCCCTTAACTGTTATTCTGCTGTCATAATCTGCAGCTTTTAATGCCGTGAAAGTACACAGCAATAGGAATGGGGAGGTTAGAATTTTTTTCTCCCTTATCTGATAGTTATGAAAATACAAGAAGCTGCTTTTTGTGAATTAAGGCTGAATTTAAGGAACAGAAGCTCTAATAATGAATGTGATGAAAATTATAGAACCACAGGTGTGTGCCAACAAATTATTACTGAGCTAAGGTACAGTGTTTCACAATTTTAGGAAGTCAACTTTCATACCACAAAACAACTCAGATCTTCTAAAGTTTAGCAACTAAACCTAACAGGAATTCCTACTTTTTAGTTGTTTCATTATGGGCAAATAAGAATCTGAACCATTCTTGAAGGCTGAAGGAATACCCATAGTTGTAGAAAATGAATGTGTCAGCTTATTCAGCATGATCAGAGACTATATCTTCCAAAGAGCCAGAAAAGATGAGGGAAATGAAAATAGAAATCGGGAAATTATTTACATTTTAAGGTCACATTTTTAGATATCTGTAGTCATAATCAGAAAAGGGGACTGGAATTACTAAAAATATTCAGAATTTAAATGGTTAAATCTAAGCTAGATTTACCTTAGAAGTGGTAAAAAGAATTGTCACTTCTGAAGTGTGCATCTTATGACCAAATGCAGACAAACTAACATAAGTGCACCTTAAAACTAATTCTCTCCATTGGCTACAGAGATCCTAAACAGACTGGCCAAGCTGAGTTGAGTACCACACTGCACTGAAAACTAAAGGATTCAGCTCCACAGAATCATAAGAAATGCTAGAATTAGGTACTTAGGGTTGTACTGCATGCTAAGAGATATATAGATCTCACAGTTATGCTGGTCAGGACAAATGCCAGGAACAATCATTTACCAACAAGTCATGTTTGAACACCTGCCCTTTTGAGGGATACAAAAACCTCATTCTAAAATATTTATTAGACTTGGGTTACACTTTCCTTCAAGCTATAGAGTTTTGCATTTTTTCCAGACTCTAACAAATATTTCTACATTCACAATAGCTCATCCTCAGCAGATTCATTCTGAGATTTCCCATACATACAATTGGAAATCTTTAATGGAGTACTGGGCAACTGTGATGCCTTTGTAAGGAAGTCTTGTTTGTCCAGAAGACCCACTGCTGGAACTTAACAAGCTTAAGTGTCTTCTTTAACAAAAAGAATGTATAGCAGCAGACCTCAGAAGGAAGATAAACATGTAATTCCATCTATTCCAACAATTCCATCTATTCCAACAATGCACCTCTGTACGCATGGAAACCACAGGTTAGCTCAC